TTTTTTTTGAGATTGAGTTTCACTCTTGTCACCCAAGTTGGAGTGCAATGGTACAATCTCGGCTCAGTGCAACCTCTGCCTCCCGGCTTCAAGCAGTTCTCCTGCCTCAGCCTCCCAAGTAGCTGGGATTACAGGCATGAGCCACCACGCCTGGCTAATTTTGAATTTTTAGTAGAGATGGGGTTTCACTATGTTGGTAAGGCTGGTCTCCAACTCCTGACCTCAGGTGATCCACTCACCTCCTTGGCCTCCCAAAGTGCTGGGATTATAGGCGTGAGCCACCTCCTGGCCTACCCTTTTGTGTGTGTGTGTGACAGAGTCTCACTCTTTCATTCAGTCTGGAGTGCAGTGGGTCAATCTCAGCTCACTGCAATCTCCATCCCCCAGGATCAAGCCATTCTCCTGTCTTAGCCTCCTGAGCAGCTGGGACTACAGACACGGGCCACCATGCCTGGATAATTTTTGTACTTTGTTAGTAAAGACCGGGTTTCACCACGTTGGCCAGGCTGTTCTCGAATTCCTGGCCTCAAGCAATCCACCTACCTGGACCTCCCAAAGTGGTGATATTACGAGCATGAGCCACCGTGCTGTGCTGGGCCATCATTACGATTTTGCAGATGAACAAACTAAGGCCCAAAGAGTAGAAATATCTCAGCCAAAGTCACACAGGTGGTAGGTAGCTGTGTGCTCACTTTCACTTTTCCATGGAGGGAGGGAAGAACAAAAATGGATTTGGGACTGGGCACAGTGGCTTACACGTGTAACCCCAGCACTTTGGGAGGTTGAAGTGGGCAAATAGCTTGAGCCCAGATGTTCGAGACCAGCCTGAGCAACATAGCGAGACCCCATCTCTACCAAAAATACAAAAATTACCTGGTCATGGCGGAGCTTGCCTCTAGTCCCAGCTACTCAGGAGGCTGAGGTGGGAGGATCACTTGAGCACAGGAGTTGGAGGTTACAGAGAGCTATGATTTTGTCACTGCACTCTAGCCTGGGTGATAGAGCAATACCTTGTCTCAGGAGAAAAAAAAAGGGGGGGGATTACAGTGTATCCCCCTAAGGGACAATTTCCACTCTACTCACTCTATTGACCAAGACTCAGACCCTACCTTCCTAGAATTCAGTGAGTTGGCAACTGTCTGGGTCTTTTGAGGACATTGATCTCCTAACTTCCTCCTTTGTTGGGCTTAGAATCAGGCCTGGGGGCTCAGAAGGTAGAGGAGATACATCTAATGTCACTCAACCCTTTAAATTTCTTCTCTCTTTTTTTTCTTTTTTTGGGAGGGAGTCTCACTCTGTCACCCAGGCTGGGGTGCAGTGGCACGATCTCGGCTCACTGCAGCCTCTGCCTCCCGGGTTCAAGCAATTATCCTGCCTCAGCCTCCTGAGTAGCTGGGATTACAGGCATGCACCACCATACCCGACTAATTTTTATATTTTTGTTAGAGATAGGGTTTTACCATGTTAAAGTCTGGAACTCCTGACCTCAGGTGATTTACCCACCTCGGCCTCCCAAAGTGCTGGGATTACGTAAAGGTGTGAGCCACCATGCCTGGCTAATTTCTTCTTTTTTTTAAATTTTTTTTGTTTTCTATTTTTAAATTTAAATTAAATTTAATTTAATTTTTTCTGAGATGGAGTCTCACTCTGTCGCCCAGGCTGGAGTGCACTGGCGCGATCTCAGCTCACTGCAACCTCCGCCTCCCAGGTTCAAGCAATTCTACTGTCTCAGTCTCCTGAGTAGCTGGAATTACAGGTACACGACGCCACGCCTGGCTAATTTTTGTAGTTTTAGTAGAGACAGGGGTTCCACCATGTTAGCCAGGCTGGTCTGGAACTCCTGACCTCAGGTAATTCTCCCACCTCGGCTCCCAAAGTGCTGGGATTACAGACGTGAGCTACCGCGCCCAGCCGAATCACTTGAGGCCAAGAGTCCGAGACCAGCCTAGCTGACATGGCGAAAACTTGTCTCTACTAAAAGTACAAGTTAGCTGGGCATGGTGCTGTGTGCCTGTAGTCCCAGCTATTTTGGAGGCTGAGGCACAAGAATCGCTTGAACTCGGGTGGCAGGGGTTGCAGAGAGCAAAGATTGCACCATTGCACTCCAGCCTGGGTGACAGAGCAAGACTGTCTCAAAAAACAAAAAACGGCTGGGCGCGGTGGCTCATGTCTGTAATCCCAGCACTTTGGGAGGCCGAGGCAGGCGGATCACGAGGTCAGGAGATCGAGACCATCCTGGCTGACACAGTGAAACCCCGTCTCTACTAAAAATACAAAAAATTAGCCGGGCGTGGTGGTGAGCGCCTATAGTCCCAGCTACTTGGCAGGCTGAGGTAAGAGAATGGTGTAAACCCAGGAGGCAGAGCTTGCAGTAAGCCGAGATCACACCACTGCACTCCAGCCTGGGCGACAGAGGAGACTCTGTCTCAAACAAACAAAAAAACCAACCAAACAAACAAAAAAACACAGAACCTTTACTAAGCCATTGAGTCTGAGCTCAGCAATTTAGGCTGGAATCAGGTGGCCATTCTTCTGGTCTCTGCTGTGGTCAGAGTTGAGGGTGGTGTTGGCAACCTTAGCTGGCCTTGGCTAGAATGACTAGGACCTTGGACCTGGTCTGGCCCAGGTGTGTTTTTCTTATAGCCACGGTAGAGCACAAGCAGAAACATGCAAAGTCTCCCTCCCAAGTCCTAGGCTCAGAACTGGCACAGCAGCACTTTCACCTAATTCCGCTGGCCAGAGCAAATAACAGGGCTAGAGTCAATGGGTAGGGCATGCAGCCACTCTATCCTACCTTAGCAGTAGGAGGACACTGAAGAGTTATATGGCAAAGGCTGTGGCTACAAGGGTGAAGAATTAGGGCCATTAATGCAAACATTCTTTTTTTTTTTTTTTGTCTTTGAGATGGAGTCTCTCCCTGTCACCCAGGCTGGAGTACAACGGCACGATCTCAGCTCATTTCTACGTCCGCCTCCCAGGTTCAAACGATTCTCCTGCCTCAGCCTCCCGAGTAGCTGGGATTACAGTAGCCCACCACCACGCCCAGCTAATTTTTGTATTTTCAGTAGAGACTGGATTCCACCATGTTGACCAGGCTGGTCTCGAACTCCTGACCTCGTGATCCGCCTGCCTTGGCCTCCCAAAATGCTGGGATTACAGGCAGGAGCCACTGTGCCTGGCCCCATCAATGCAAACATTCTATCACCTATTTTTTTTTTTTTTTTTGGAGACAAAGTCTTGCTTTGTCTCCCAGGCTGGAGTGCATTGGCATGATCTCCGCTCACTGCAGCCTCCACCTCCCAGGTTTAAGCGATTCTCCTGCCTCAGCCTTCTGAGTACCTGGGATTACAGGTACGTGACACCACAACCAGCTAATTTTTGTATTTTTAGTAGAGACAGGGTTTCACCATGTTGGCCAGGCTGGTCTTGAACTCCTGACCTCAAGTGATCCACCCATCTCAGAAAGTGCTGGGATTACATGCGTGAGCCACCGTGCCTGGACCTATCACCTGTGTTTGAATTGTAGCTACTTACTAGCTGTGTAACCTTGGAAAAATAGATCAATTCCTCTGTGCTTCAGTTTCCTCCTCTGTAAAATAGGTGTAATAATAGCCAACTGTTAGGGAATTAAATTTGTGGAAATAATAAGAGAATGTACATGAAGTACTGACCACAGGGCAAGTGTTCAATATGTTCATTATTGTTATTACTGCATTACAGAACTCTATTGTTCTAATAATAACAGTGACAGTTTGCTGAGCCCTTAATATGTGCCAGGGTCTAAGCTATGTGTTTTACCACATCCTGTGAAGTGGTGAGGGTAAACATTATTATTATTGTTATTTAGAAATACGGTCTCGGCCGGGCGCGGTGGCTCAAGCCTGTAATCCCAGCACTTTGGGAGGCCGAGACGGTCATATCACGAGGTCAGGAGATAGAGACCATCCTGGCTGACACGGTGAAACCCCGTCTCTACTG